AATTTTATTTTAGTCTAGAAACTATATTTTGTTTTATAATAATTTTAGGAGTTTTTAAATTCATTTTTAAATTAAAGATCTAAAGATTATTTTTATTTTATTTACATTATTCTTAAAAAAGAAATAAAAATAATAAGAGTTACTAAATCATTATAGAATGGCTTAATTTAATTTTTAGTCTATTAACTATCACCTTAATTTTATTTTAGTCTAGAAACTATATTTTGTTTCTAAGTGGTCTATTAACTTTCAGATTCATTTCAATTTCGTCTACTTGGTCAAAGATAACGAAAAATTTCCTATTCTGTTAGAGAGGAGTTAGTCCTCTAACTATATTTTTTTTGATCTTTTAGTCCTTAAATTTATATTTGTTATAAAAATAGTTTTTTTACTTAAAATTATTATTTATAGGCCCTGATACCAAATTTTTATACGGGTTTTCCTATTTCTTTAATTTGGTATTAGAGCCTGAAAGTTAATAGACCACTTAGAAATAATAATTTTAAGTATAAAAATCTGGTATCAGAGCCTAAAAATAATAATTTTAAGTGTAAAAGTTATTTTTATAAAAAATATAAATTTGAGAACTAAAAGATAAAAAAAATATAGTTAGAGGACTAACTGTTCTCTAACAGAAATAGGAAGTTTTCCGTTATCTTTTACCAAGTAAACGAAATTGAAATGAATCTGAAAGTTAATAGACCACTTAGAAATAAAACATAATTTTTAGACTAAAATGAAATTAAGGTGATAGTTAATAGACTAAAAATTGAATTAAGCCATTATAGAATAGGTAACTAAAATAAAAGAATAATCATCAGGTTAAATTAAAAAAACATTTATTTTCCTTAAGATATAGAAAAACACTATTATTTTAAAATAAATTTAAATAAAAAACACCAATTATTTTAGGATAGAAGAAGTCTTACTTCTTTCTTTTATTTTAAAATAATTGTTATTTTTTAATTAAAAATTTAAAAATAATTTACGTACATTTTTACTCATTATTTTTTAAAAGGATAATGATAAAAAAAATACTGTGATAGGATTATCAAATCCAAATAAATAGATAATAATAAATTTAAATTAGAAAAAATATTAATTTGTGTTAAAAATAAAAAATAATAATTAATTTAAGATAAATTAAAAATAATAAAAATTATTTTTAGATAATTAAAAATAATAATTATTATTGTCTCTAATTAATAAAATAATTAATATTTATTATTCTCTACATCTTAGAATAATAGTTCTTATTTTAAGGAGATAAAGATTTTTTTTTACTTTAATTTTATAATTATTTCTTAATTTTAATTATTCATTATCTAATTAAAA